TGTGCAATTGGACAGCGGTGGCGGGTTAAAAAGAGTTCTCTGAAGGTGGTGAACCCCTTTGACGAGAAATACTTAAAAATCATAACCAACATTCCGTGATACGATTTTTCTAAATAAAAGCTAAGGTTTTGAACCGTTAAACAGTCTTTTTGGGACAAAAATACCGTACAGAGGAGTGAACTGGGAAACGGGGACAGATTTTTCCTTTTAATAATTGCGAGGAATATCTCAAACTCAGCAATCTTAAACCATTGAGCTATGTAGTAAATGTGCAATGAATCAATTACTACCCAACAACATACCCTGTTTATTTACTGTAATGTACTACATGTGTGTAAAGCCAGTAATTATTAATCCTCGTCGGTAACAAATTTGACTTCACCTTCCTATAATTAATGGAGCATATAGTTAGCTTTAATATCCTTATTAGTGGCAACAATGGCTGAGGATAGAAAAGAAGTTGGAATCTCATATTGTGGCTCACTATGGTGAAGGGTTGAACCAATCAATGTATTTCACCTTAAGAGTGATACTCTGCTGTTCTATTTCATGGTCAAAATTACCTCCTATAAAGCGGACATATGACAATTACTTTGATTTTTAAAAGTATTTATTTCAAGATATTTTGCAGTTAACTTTGTGTTCCTCTTGTTAAAAGTGCAAGAAGAAGGGAAATAGCCTTCAGGCTCTGGCAGCGTAACCCCGTGCTGGTTAAGAGAACGTAGATGCGCCTCTACTTGCACAACATATACTACAAATGGAATGAAGTAGCATCTGTATTTACGAATGTATAGCAAAACACTGCATACTTCAAAAGTATGCAAGAATTATGACCAAACATCCTAAAGGTGAAGCTGGAAGTATGAAGCATTCTTCCAAATGTCTTCTGTTAATAATATTTGGTTATGCAGTTCATGTCTCTGTGTTCATTGGATTCTGGTATAATAATTTTTGCATCAAAACAGCCTCCTGAAATGCGTATCTTTGTGATCAAGCTAGGAACCAGGCTAACCATTCTTTAGTCGAGATGATACATTAAATTACATTCACGAAGGTCTTCAATGATTGTAGTACCTAATCTTCAGTGCCTGATAGCTACAACAAAATCCATAGTCTAAAGTGAAATACAGAGGCTCTGTATACCACAGGAGGGAGTACTTCAGATCTATGATAGGGCATCTGGTAAATGGGAAGTGATGTTAGGTAATCGCTGTGAAATGTTGAGGACCAAGCTAGTCTTAAAATTCCAGGGATTTGTCACCCTAACCTAGATTGGAGGTGGTAAATTCTCCTGACCTCGCTGTTGGAATGAGGTATGGGAGATCTTTCAGGAAACAGGTAGGGTGAATACTTTTACTTCAGAAGACATCTGGAAGTTGTGCTGATGAATTGCTCAGTGGTCAGAATTGTCAGTCTAAATGTGGAAACTTGGGCTGAATGCCTTTTTTTTTTCTTTTTTTAGGCTTTAAACCCAGCTATATAAAAAGGGAGACCCAGTTTCCAGCATGAATTCCAAATAATGCTCTCTCAGGAGAGTGACCTGAAATGGGTAGCAGTTGTACTACAGACACTATGTCAGTTCTTCTAAAAACAAGATCCATGAGGTGCTGTCAGCTGAATGCACATCTTCATGTGCAGCTTTGGCCCATCAGAAGCACAAAACTTTTATTTTAATTGTCTGCATCTTCTGCAGTTGATGCCCAGGCCCACTGCCTCTCATCTCCTTCCACCAGCATTCTGCCACACCTTGCAGCTGAGGAACCAGCTTGGGCTTTTGCTGTCCTTAGCTGCAGAATTCTTTGGCAATTTCTGATGAGCAGCCACACCTGGGCCTCCTTTTATCCTTTGAGTCTCATTTACTCTGTTTCCTTCCCAGTCTAGATCACGTTCTGAATAGTGCTGAAATTCAAGCTACAGCTCAAGAACTCTATTATTCCTTTAGTGAGTGTGAATAAATAATCCAGTTGTGTGAACAGGAGAATCATGATTATATTTCTGACCTTTTTTTTTTAAAAAGATTTTCATTTCATATCTGCTGTATTACTAAAAAAAAACATATTTTTGGCACCAGCAGCATGGGAGTTGAATGTGAGAGACTGTAAATCCTTCCATTAGCTCAACACTCACAAGTGTTAATAGTAATTAAAAACTTTTTTTTTCCCCTCAAGATACATTTCACACTTTGCACATACTGAGAAATCTCTCTCACCATGGGAACTTTCAGATCACTTATTCCCTGCAAAAACAGGTACAGTTTTCTTTTGTTGGAATAGAACAAAGACATAAGGAAGTGCAGGTTTCATTTACTCCTAGGACACTGCAGTCTATTAAGTGCCAGTGAACTAATGAGCCTCTCAGACCTTATGTTGTTCTGGCTTGGATCAAGGCTTAATTTTCCTTAACCCTTAAGAAACTAGCTGACTCCTAGACTGATACTGCCATGCTCTCCTACGCCGCCTCCTCCTCCAGGGTATTGCTTCTGCTGACCAAACCGGGATGTTGGATAGCTTGGATATGAAGTAAGGTGAGAAATCTACAGCTTCTTAGCAGTAAAAGAGGAGAGAGTGCGTTATGAATGCAGCGAGGAAAAAGTCAGAACAATGTACTGTTCTGCAGCCCCTCGAAGCAGAACAGAGAACAAATATATCTCATCTTGTTGGAAGAACTAATAAGCAATTATATGGTGCTTTTTGGCATATTATTTCTTGGCAAGTGACAGATCATTGTTGTACCTACGACAGCCAAAGACAACCTCCGTTACTTTCATTTCTAACCATAAAGAATAAAGACTTCCCGGAAGTTCATTCATTGGCTAAATTTCACATCAGAAAAATCTCTGTGGGTTCTGGTATATCCAAAACCAAGACCGTATTGAGATTACATGTAAGAAAGGAACAAAACCAACCAAACAAGAATTAAACAAAAATACTCTTTTAGACTTTTTTTTGAAATGGGGATCGGCATTTATGCAAACATTCTCATCTGCAGTGAATTACTTCTGTGACCAAAGTAGAAGAGAAAAATGCTAATACAAAAGATGTTTGAAGCTAACGGATCAGAGCCTTGAGCACTGGAAAAACTGGGCACTGATCTGCTGCAACTGCTTGGTCACATTAATTATTGGTCTTAAAAACTAGGTTTTGCCTGAACTTTTTGGGAAGTGACCTCCAAGATACTTGCCACGCTTGGGACAGTAGTGCCCATCCAATGGAGAAGATGCACTCTCCTGTAGTAAAATTTAGAACGTGTTGTCTGTTGGGATGAGATTAGAGATTTGAAGGACAAAGATAATTTTATAAATATAACTTGTCCTTTAACATAACAGTGCACAGCAATTCTGACAAAAATGTCAGCAGAATCTGAAATACGCTATCTGATGGACAGATAGATCCACAAAAGCTGTGGTATACGGGGAATCATAGTACAAGTCTAATTCTAATGGTCGTCTCAGAATCTATTGTTGAATCAGTGCCATTACTATTATTTTTGATAATTTGAAAGTGAACGTAAAACAACTGCTGCAAAACTCTGTAGATTGCAAAAGAAATAGTGGAATGATAACAATAAGGACAGTGGGTTCTGAAGAGGAATCTGGGTTTCTGGCCTTACTGATAAGATGGCATGTAAGTGTATTTATTTATAGGCGGAGGAACACTGGACCTACTTGCATGTTGGAAGCCTGTATTTTAGAAGACGGTAGGTTTGAAAGGGAATTTAGGGTCACAGGACTCTCTTCAATAGAGCATGATCTCCTAGTGTGATTTAGTGACAAAGACAGCATGATCCCTCTATGTATTCATTAATAAGACTTTAAAAACAGGTACTGTACTGCAGGAACAACAATATGAACATCAGGGGCATTTATTACGATCCTCTGCTTTTCAACAGTTGATTTTTGCGAAAGAAGGGATATTCTAAATGCTGCACTCGGAAACCATGGAAATGTACAGTCTCAGTTAATATTACTTCACATGCCAATGCAGAAGGAAAACCAAACCTGTTGTTACAGATGAGAAAGCATTTCCAGAAGCATAAAGAATAAGGCACTTAAACATTTTCTGTTAACTATTCTTTCAGAGCATCTGCTTTTGAAGGTTGCTCTGCTTCCAATTTCAGTTTGTTTTCTGCTGTAATTCCTAGAATTGCTTCAATATCTTGAATTGCCATCTGTAACAGAATCAAGGAATGCAAGTTATTTAATGGGCATTATAATGAAATCTAGCAGCCAAAATGCACAGCTGGTAGTACTTGCCTTGAAAAGGTAACCAGGGTTACACAAGACATGATGCACCAATTTAAATTTACTATTACTTTGGGGAAAGTTGGGAGAATTATTAGTAAATATGTACAAATCTCAGGTAAATAAAAATACAATTCATTGCAATTTGTACTTCTAATTAACTGACATGTGTTCTATTTCACATGTAAATCATTGTTAACTCACTATGAAGAAGACTTCCCTTTTATATTTTTCTTCACTGGTTGCTTTTCACTCCCTCATCTTGAAGAAAGGGGTGGTTTTTTGTTTATTCTGTAGCATGTTGACATTTAATTATAACTTCTCTAAAACTGTTATTTCACACCGTGCTGGTAGAGGAAAATGTAGTCGGAGTTAACACTGGAAAGAATCTGATAGAAGTTACTTTGTGCGATTTAAGATAGAAATCTGTAACACCACACTCCCCTTCACCTTTCTACAAAACGCTTACAGACAGGATCTTAGAAACTTTTTATAAAGTTAAAGGTGATATAGCTTAGCAAAAGAACTCCCTCTGGAAAGTTTAGCTATTCTCTGGAATCAAAAAGCAGCATTGTAATGAGTGCTTGTTTCGGGGCACGGGGTTGGATTCATTATTGCTTTACTGTCTCCTTTTGCCAGCAAGGTCGGCACAAAGGAGCCTCGGAGCAAAGGTGGGCGCTCCTGGGGGAACGCTCCCGGCGCGAGGAGCCCCCGCGCTTTGTCCTGCCTGCCCCCGCACCACCCCAGAGCATCGCTGGCGCGCGGGGACGGGCGCTGCGGGCAGATTCAGCGGGCAGAGAAAATTGGGAACAGAATTGGCTGGTGAAAGTGATGGCAGGGTGGAAGACGTGCACTACTGGATTAAGTGCTCAGTGGCTGCCTGCTTAAAAGAAATGAGTGCTAATAATCTAAGGAGCTATTATAAACAGAGAAGTTTGCTTCTAATTTAAGATTCCTACCTTGATGGTGTCCCTTTAAAAGAAAACAGACAATTGTGACAGTACTGTCTGAGCAGTGCCAATAGCTCCTTTGCTCTTACAAAGGACAGTTGGGAGCATTACATTACAAATCATTTCACGCTAAAGTATGTTTCTTTTCAAAGAAAAAGTTTCAAACTTAAATTTAACTAACAGGTTCATTGGGAGACTTACTATATTGACCTAGACACTGTAAAATACATACCGCTAGCAATAAAAAAGGAATGGTTTAGCACTTGTTTATGATACAGCATGAGGTATTTTCAGCCCTTGTACAGAAATTAACCAGGATCGTTAGTTAATTAACACCTCACCTTAAAATTGGTCTCGCCTTGCATATTAGGTGCTGATATTTCTTGATGGATGATGAAGAGATTGCGAGCAAAGGTCATGAGGACCCCCTGGAGATCCTCTCCGATTGTTCTGTTAATGATATCCAAACAAATGAGTTTACCAATGATTCCCTTCACATGCTTAAAAACAATCACCCTCTCATTTGTGCCTGTCTGGTGATGGAATTTAATGAGTATTTTCAATCTCACAAGGTGGCAATCTTCAGGGAGATATGAAAGATGAGGCTCCATTTTAACTTGTCAACAGAAAGGATTTGTGTAATAAATAATTTTTATTAATCAACTTAGCAGAAGTAAGCAGTAACATTTCGGCTGCTCCAAGTAAAAGGCTAGTGTTGAGCGTTGACTGAGACAGGAGAAGACTTTAAACACCTACGTTAGTTTAGAAGAGCTGTTGCTTCTGCCTACAATTTGTGGAAGACAGCTGAAGGAGATGTTTCAGCAGTATCAGCCTTTCTTAGATTGTTGTAGCTTTGGAGACTTTGGTTTCTCAGTGGTACGTACAGACTCTCGATACATACGATCTTATGGAACAGGATATTACACTAAGGAAGAATGTACCTCATTTACTGACTGGAACTGACAATAGATCTCCAATGTAGTAAAGTGGATGATAATTCACATAGATGTTTCAGGTAGTTCAGTGATTTTGTAAGCTTAAACTGTCATGTTCTTGACATTATTTCCAAATTAGGATCATGAAATTGCATCGAAAAATCTGATGGAAGACAAATGTGGGATCAGAATGGCATGGCAAATACATGTGAGAATATTCTGGTAATATATTATTAACTGCCGATTCAAACTGATGATCCAAGAGGCGTTGTTACGTTTCTTACTGGGGAGCAACAACTGATGTATTGTTCTAAAGGAGCTAGCAAGAATGTAGGATGCAGCATTTCTAACATAAGGACTCCACTTTCCAAGGTACATGGCTAACAGAATCACACAGACCGAGACAAGCCAATCCAACAGTTCATTGACTCTGAAAGGGGCAGGTCCTTCTCCTCTCTTCAGTTCCTCCCCAGCTATCTTGCACAACTCTCATGCTCACTATTTACCCCTCTATGGACTGATTCTCTTTTAGCCTCACAGAGAACCAACCCAAGAAAAGAAAGCTTTCTGCTGAGTTCTTGAGCTGAATCAACTCCTGGAGAGGCATAAAAGTACCGGAGACAACGCAAAAAGAGGGTCAGGAGGGAGGAGGACTCCATAGCTGGGGTCAGGGAAGGAAGGAGCTCACCTTTCAGCATCAGTGGGCTGTTAGGAGAGTTTACCACCTTACGGAACACTTTCAGATGCCTGAATCACTTTTTAAATGGCTGCTGTAGACATTTTACAAGTTCTCGTTTAGTGATTTTCTTCCAAATTTATCTCACAGCTCAATCGTGTAAGCTGCCTATATTGCGACTGCAGGTGAGTGAAGTATGGTACAGGAATATCTAAGCTTTAAACAAATAGGACTCGTTTCTATACTACCAACAGCCTCATCCACAAGGAGCTCGGTACAGGCTGAAAGAATCAAGAAACAATCTTTAGGATTCATTTAGTCCATTCCCTGTGCTAGGGCAGGATCAATGCTACTTATATCATCCTGACAGAGGTTTGTCTAATCTGTTACTAAACACTGTCAGTGACAACCGCCCTGAACAATCTAATTAGTTCTTCGCTTCCCTTACTATCAGAAATTTTTCTTATGCTAAACATGAATCTTTCTTGCATGCAAGTTAAGTTCATTTCTTCTCGTCCTGCTACCAAAGGCACGGAAATTAGATTTTTCCTTCCCACAGAGGCTTTTTATGTGCTTGAAGGTTGTTAGCAGATCTCACTTCTGCTTCTTTCCCCCCATCCCCTTTAGTCTTGCCTTCTAAGTCATGCTTTCTAGAACTCTAAACATTTTCATTGCCTCCTCTGAGTTGAGTGGAAGGATTACTTCAAGGTCTCCCATGTTATATTGTTTGCTTTTTTCCATAAGATCATGACATCGTGACTTGCAGGCAGTTTGTAAGCCACTGTAACTCACAGATGCTTTCCTGCAAAGCTGGTTGTTCCTCATATTCATTACCGCTATGTAAGTGTAATTTCTTGCACCTAGTTCCAACTGAATCTAATTCTGGGTTTCATATTGTTTCTTTATTTTGTCGAGATCATTTTGAATTCTATTCCTCCTTCCAAAATACTTGCAGTCACATCCAGCACTTGAGGAAACTGTTTTCTTACCCAGGTCATTAATGAAATAGCTCCAGCGTCAAAGGAATACAGAACAGACTGTGAACAGACCATTTCAGCCCCTCACTCATTATGTCCTATTTCGCCGGTAAATGTTACATAAATTCTCTCTGAGGAGACGTTTTCAATCACAGTATAGTAGATTTGTGCAGATTATGCTGTCTTACACTTCTTAGGAGAGGTTTGTATGTATAAAGAATTACTAAACCATCAGATCTGCTGTTGCACGACTGCCATTGATCACTTTGTGAATAACAATATAAAAAGGCATTACACTTCAACCTTCTTTGCATCATATACAGTTAGGTTTTTAATAACGTCGCCTGTAAAAGTAAGCCAGTGCTAATCCGCGTGCTCTCGCAGCTAGATCGCTGTTGACAGTGAATCTAGCTCTCGTAAAGCTAATTGCAGTAGCTCTTTAGTCTGCAATGCAGTCAGGCTTTGATCTAAGCAGATTTCTGCACTTTTTTTGTTACTAAAATGCTTAAAGCCTCCCTAAACTTATCAAAAGGCCAGCCTTACAAGAAGCCATTTTACTGTTCTGAGCAGTAGGTGACAGTCAGTGAACTGGAGTGCATGGTGTTCGACGGCTCATCTCCCAGATGACCTTTGCTGGAGCCGGAGCCAGCACCCGCTGTGGGGTTGTTCTTCGGATCAAGCGTGTTCCCAGCTTTTATCCATGTTTATGGAATGGACATACTTACATCATTCCCAATCTGTATCGCTTCTGATCTTCATACAATATAAAAACTGTTCCCTGTTTTTCCTGTTAAATGAAAAGACAAAGTTGCCTTAATTATTCCTAAAATAGTGATAATTATAATAAATGTATTATGCAGGGACAGTAAGTGCATAACCGTATCTAAGAAACGCTAGTTTTGAATTGTGTGTAATGGATTATTGCTTAGTGTAAGATTGTTGCTCTAACTTCTTGTAGAGAATACAATACATTAACTTTATGTAAATAGAACACATATGGCAGAGTCAATTCAGTAGCAAATATTTTTGTTCCAAAGCAGTAAGAAATGGTCATAAGTATCTCAAAAATTATCTCCTTAGATAGTTACTGTTGTCAAGAGACAGGTTAACCCCTAAAAGCCTTACACACACTTAGACTGAAAGACAGTGAAAGTAAGTTTAGGTTTTCCTGTTCTGAAAGCTCATAGTTCACCTTAGATATACACAGGACATGACTTTCATTAACCTTCTGCTCTGGTTAATGGCCAGTTTGGTCAGCAGCAAAACTCACAGTTTGATTTTCAGATGCACTAAGCGACAGTGTCGGCGTGTCGCTGTGGGAGCTCTCATAAGCAGGTGCCCTCCCCGGGGAGGGTTTCTGCTGAGAAAACACGTACAACTCTGCATTTCCCAGTGAAGCCCTGTGCCCTAGGATCGGAAATCCGTCTGCTGTTCTCTCTTGCATAACACCTTCTAAACTCTTTTACAATTCTGTTCATAAGCCTTAAGCAGTTCCTTTCCTAGCAAAGACTGCATTTTCATTTCTTCGTTCCTCTTTCTGTTGCCCATTATCACCCGACCTCTTGGCCTCTGAAGATGTATCTTATCTTACGGGTACAGAGGCGTGTGAAAGGGCCGTATGATGGCCCAGCGCTCTCATGAAAACTCAGCGCTAGCATGGTCCTAAACCCAAGCACAGCTCCTGGCTCACAGCCATAATCCTTTTTGCCCGCCGAGCCGTGCGAACAAACCTGCCGGGACAGCATTCCCTCCGTAGCCTCCGAGAGAGACACCGTCTCGCTCCCTGCTGTGTATCATAGACATGCTGTAATTCCTCATCCTTCACTGCTTCCAGGCTTAAGCCAAATCAGACCGGTATCTCACTACTGCAGTTCTTCAAGACTTGGACCCCAGCTAAAGTAAGCTGACAGGTAAGCGTTCTAATACTCGACTAATTTGTACGGGAACTACGGAAGACCTTTGTGCAATTCAGAGTTCATTAATTAGCAGCATGAAAACAATTGCAAATAAAATCAATCCTGATTTATACCAAGTCCCCTTCAACAAAACTGTAGAGCAACACCTTGCTGTGTTTTTAACAGAACACTTAAACATTACATTATGCTAAATGGGACACTTAAACTTTACATTGTGCTAAGTGGTTTCACCATATTAGAATTTACAAAAAAAAATTATGCAGAGTGAATATCACGCTTTCTAATCTTTCCCGTTCATACCTGGAGGTCAAATCCAACACCGTGAACTTTACACATCTGGAGGAGAACATGGTAGTAGATTACTGAAAGGCCTGAGTGCCTCAGTTGGCTGCTTGCTACTGCACACCGGTTGCTTATTGGAGAAGGCTAGAGAAAACAACACGGGATTCTTTATTTTCATACTAGTTTATACAAAAACCCAACAATTTACTATTTAAACGGCTTTTTCTCAGTGAACTCATGGAAATGTAGAGTTCCAGCTCCATTTGGAGGAATTTCTGTTCATCACAATGTCTACTGAACACAGACGTTTCCATGCAGCAAAATTAAATCCTCACCTCACGCTGTATGTAAAACCTTATATTATAGATCAGGTCTACAGAATCACCCTTTATGAATCACATTTTGATATTTTCACAGCTTCATTGGTAACTGAGTCCTGTGAAATGATTCTAAGTGGATCCTCTGAATCCATCCTGCCCTGTGGTAACACACGTTGTCCTAGAGTCAGCTCTTCTCGATAGCAGAAATTCCAAAGTGCATAATCAGTAGGTTTTGAAACTGGGTTTCTCCAAGACTGAGCATTCTGCTACAGCAGGAGTGTGCATAATTTTTCCAGCAAGCCTTTGAGAAGACCAGGCACAGTGACTCCAAGGAGCTACACAACTGATACCAGTGGAGTTCATGCTATGGATAAAAATCAGTACTGCATTTGAGTTTAAATTCTTACCAGTGCATAGGACAAAATTGTTGCGTTGAGTAGAGCTGAATAGAGATGTTCTCCTAAACCAAGGCTTTCCTGTGATGTTATTTTTTAATACTGGACTGTTGTTCAGAGTGGGGATGCTGCACGTTGAAGCATGTAATTTACAGTATTTTTTCTAAAATGATAGTTGTTTTGACATTGACTCATTTAAGTTGACATAGTTGAAATCCTTATACAATACATCTCTGCCTGAAAATTAATCATGTTTATAATATTCTGAGAATTAATAACACCCATTGCTCAAGTCATTAACTTAAAAAAGGAGCTTCCAAAATCTGTTTTCTGCAGTAGGGGACCACAAATAAATGAATGCTTGATAAAATAATCCAAGTAGCAGTTTAACAAGCGTAAACTTGAATGTGGCTGCAATAACACAGAACTATTGTTTAAGGGTTGGCATCAGGTTGATGAGGTGCTTATTTCAGCTACAAAGCATGCATACACATGCATAATGAACTGCAGTATGAATTATTAATGTGTTGCTTATTTAGCCTCATCTGTCTAGAAGATAATGTATCCTAACTATAATGAGTGATTGGTTTTGTACATAATTACAGTAGCAGCAGTATCTAGGAAATTTGTTCTTTCAAAGAAGGATTTCTAAAAATAAAATCATCACACAAACTCAGTTGCTGCTCCATTTTATCAAAATCAAACCTACCAGGATTGGGAATATATAATAAATTAAAAGGGACAGAATCATTATTAACATCATAATTTTACACAAAGTGTTTTACTTAATCATTCATTACAGATCATGTGCTGTAAAAGCATTTGTCTCTTGGTTTGTTTCTTTTTCTAAAGATATTTTCCTAAGAGAGTGCATTTTTGTAGTTAACTCTTAGAGAGATAAAAACCCCAGAAGTACAGAAAGAAAAAAAAATAAAGGATATAGTGACAATTTATGTTAATTCTGACAGAATTTTAATTAAATAAAGTTGCTACTTGATTACTTTTCATTTCTAAAACTTGTACTACTGGGACTAATCATATCTAATTTACTCCTCTCCAACTAAAAGTGGTTGCTTGACAAGAACAATAGATCAAGAGCTCATTAACCTCTAAATTATAGCTCCATGACATTTTTGGAACCGTGCTACATTCCTCCTCCATGTATGAAAAAAAGGGAGTTGTGAATCTTCTGTCAAAATGTGTAAAACGGCATCTGGTTTATATCTCTGTGGGTATATCTACGTGTACTTATACATGTATTTCTTACTCTCTGGCTTTTCTAAAGGCCTTTCTTCCCTTTTTTAGAGGGATGGTCTCAAGGTTCAGAGCCATATTGAATCCTGCATCAAGATTGATCTAATTTAGCAAATCAGCATAATAAGCAAGTCGTATGTTAACCATGCTTCCGTGACAGCGTGTTTATAAGGGTTGCAAAGCAATACACAAAGTGTCATCTTCTCTAACATCACATCGCTGGAGGCACTATTACGGACACAATCTAAAGAGTTTTCGGGGAGATTAAAGGTGAGATCCACAAGAAGCAAGTGCCACAGGACTCATCTTTTCACTACCTAAACCTACAATCCTGAGCACCCCGGCTTTATGTGCAACACCCACGGACAGCCGAGCACACGTGAATTCACAGCGTGTGACGCCGAGTGTGGATGGATCTGACCTGACAATAGAAAAGAGAAAGACTGGTTGGGGGTCTTCAGGGCTCAGCTGTCTGGCTTGGTGTTGCCTCTTCCCCTTGGGCTTTGTAACTCTGGTCCAGAGAGAGCGAGCGCGGCTGCATATGCCTGCCGAGGGAGCTCACCTCAGCTAGGGTGCTATGAGTTTTTCTTCAAATGACTCTGTCCATAATTAATACTGAATAATTAATATGGAAGATGAATACTAAACAGTTAGATGGATGCAGAGCTGAGTGAAGGTTCTGGGAACCAAGCTTTGGGTTTAACTCAAGGGCGAGTTGGGAGGGATTTAGGTTGTTCAGATCCTACTGCAGACGTAGCCCTGATTGTTGTACCCCCAGTTTTGTGCATGAAAGTACAAAGCTGACGTAGACCTTCAGTGCTCTAACTTCTGATCCTAAACCAGAGCTCATGAGCTGAGGGCTCAGATTTCCTCCTAAGTTACTCCTATGGTCAGGGGCAGTGCTTTCATCTCATTCCTTTTTCATGCAATGTATAAATTACCATATTTTTTACAACTTGAGAGCTACCTAAAATATTTAGAAGTTTGTCACTACCACAAATCAATCTTACTGAGCGCAAAAAGATGAATAATCAGGTACCCATAAGCATCCAGAACCTTTCCTTTAATTTCTAACGTGATGGTATCCCGTTTACTTTACTAACCATGTAAAATCTAAAAGTAGCAGTTTTAAAATCTGAAAGGAGCAAATTCAGTTCCTCTAGAAGAGCGATCTAGGGCAGATTTTAACTTTTCGGCAATTTACATTAATAATTTTATTTGTAAACAAATCACTGCTTACAGTTTTTGTCTCCTCATGCTGAATACATTGGCTTTTCATTTTCTTTGAACCAAGAGATACTTCAAAGCAGCTAGAGTGACAGTCCAGATTTCCATCTGTCACGTACAACATGAGCTGAGTCAAGGCCAGCTGGTCACTATAGCAAAGGTCAAGGTCTGTTGCCCATACCTAATCGAAGCACAAACAGGTGCATTAAAATTAAAACAACAAAAAAAAAAAAAAAAAAAAACCACAAAACAAGAAGGGTGAAACTCAACAGTTGTGTAAAGGATCATCTATGCTTTACTTGCATGCATGCTGGCATGCATACTTATGGTTTGCTTGTGCTGCTGCATCACTGGCAGCAGTAAACCACTTCCAAACAGGAACAATTGGAATTCTTAGGTAACTTCAAAAGTAACTTTTCCAAGAAAACCAAAAGGCTATGGACAAAACAGTGACCTATACTACCAAGATTTTAGCAACAGTTAGAGAAAGGAGACAGATGAGCTCAACAGCTGTAAAGCCTGTACCACATTAAATAGGTAGTTATTGAAATACTAAATATCGCATCTGGATTTTTCAGCTGAAGAATAATTAAGGTCAAGTAAAGTCAACCTTGATTTACAAATAGATATTTTGAGATCAAAAAAGGGAAGTTCCAGAAGGCAAAGCCAAACTGAGTAAAAGGAGTAGGGAAGCGTGGAATCCGTGTGTAGGAATACATATCGGTCATCACAGGGGTTGAGCACAGCCCGTTCCCGTTGCAATACACGGCCTCATCAAACAGCGGATACCTCAGCATGTACAAAACCATACCACTTGCGGCATGGTTCTGCTTCCACTCACACCGCTGTTTCGTGGTGCTAATTCAGGTTTATACTCGCATAACTACACAAGAAACCAAACCGTAAGGTCCTAGAGCTGCCAGTGGAACGTGTCCCACAGGCGGGCGGAGGGGAAGCCCACCCCACCCTTGTGCAGGCAATGATAAAAGCCTCATACAAACCTCAAGAAGGTTTCAAAGCATTAAAGCACATAGAAGGCAGGCAGGATTTGTGAGGCCAGTCCACGCCAAGGGTGTAGCAGAAGGAAGTACCATGGATTGCTTCTGTGGGCTCCTCCGACCCGATCACCTGAGCATGGTTTTACCCAGGAGTTTTTCCCACTTAAAAAATGCTCGTACCTACTACGCCAATGAGAAATGTTAACACACGCAAATATCTGCCCTACAGTGGACCCCTTTAAAACAAATCTAGCAGTGAGTGACTTGAATAAGCCTTTGAATGGTAAATGGCGTCATTATAAGGATATTAAGAGGTCAGGCAGTCAAGGCCTTTCGGTAAACTGGAGTTAATTTCTGAATCATATTCACATAGTAATGCCCTTTTTATAATGGTGAATAAATCACATCAGTAACAGTTGTTAATATCTAACTGCCAAGTATCTGTTGCTGTATTAAATATCCTATTTGTCAACTTAAATATTTCCTGCTGCATGGTATAAAATGCAAATCGGATGCTAATGGCTGGCTTTCCTTAGTAATAGGGGAATATTCTCCAATTATAATGCTTAATTTTCTTCAATAATTTATTCTTTATCATCACTTCTGCAAGACAGGAACTTTCATATCAATTTGTACTTTTCTAGTATGTGCTAACCTTTTCAATGAGCTAAATAGTAATTATAAACTATACATACTGTAGAAGCATTACATTAATTGCCATAAATATTATCAACAAATCGCAACAGCCAATGTGTCTTGAACCATGATTGAGTTGGACATTAGATTCTCCAGTAAAGCTTTGCCCACAGAAAGAGATGGCAGGGCTGCATGAGGGGACGAGGGACTACTGAAAATCTTGGATATCCAAGGACTGTTCACGAGCTCAAAGTGAACGAGTTGCTCTTAATCCAGACCCTGATATTACACCTGCATTGCTCTAACCTCAAAGTCTACACCAGCACTATCTGGAAGCTTTGCTGATGTACGAACGGAGGGGCAGGAGGCAAGTTTGACTGAAGATGGACCATAGAACGGCTGAGATGGAAAAACCACAGAAGCTGAGCGAAGACGTCCCTGCGACCGTAGTGCATCTGGGCAAGTACAAGGGCTGCGTTCTGGCAACGCGCAGAGAATGGGCTAAGCATTTAACAGCAGATAAAGCGTTAACAAACGCAGCCTGGCAAACATAAAACGGCCATTAGCGCAAGACAAGTTCATTACACCCTGGTAAAGATTCAGACAAACCGTACCAGGCGTGGGATAGCACGTATGTTTTGCAAGAGTTACTCAACAAATCCCATGTTGTCCGTAACTGAAATGAAAGTACGTGCAAGTGACATTGTTTTCATTTCAGATGTAGAGACGCATTAATCACTTGTGTGATATTTTTCACATAATCTGAACAAAAACCCAGCGTGCCAACCTGGCTGTAATGCCCTGCTGGCGCGTTCCCAGTGGCTGCTTTGGGAAGGCGCAGCAGCACTCCCGGGCCCCCGCGCCGGCGATGGCCCCAGCCTCATCTCTGCCCAAGGAAGGGGCTACAACACAGGGAAGAGGAGAAAAAAAGCTTTTAGCAGGGCAAGTTCCATGCTGGAAATCATGAGACTGACCAAATGTTAGTTTAAGGAGTTTCTGTTCACTTTCAGAGTATAACAACTAGTTGTTTCGGACGTGGCTTCATAATCTCAGACTGACTACCCTCGTACCATTGCCTACAAAATTAAGGGTCAACAGGGTGGACTGATGGCCGTATGGTGGAGGGAGGGTGTGAAGGAGGTACCATGAAGGAGAGTGTCCATCCCTCCCCACCTGCTACCCTTTAATGTCACAGGAAGGGAAGGAGAGCTCTAAACACCTACTTAAGCTTCAGTCACAGTTACATTCTACATAGGTAAAGTCATGGTATATTTTGGTTTTTTAAGTATAGGGTGTAGCTGTCCACAAGCACAAGGGGGAAGGCAGGCAAACATGGCTGGAAGGCACCTGTCCACCTCCTTTCATCCTGGGCCTGAGGCTGAACCACCCCTGCTGCAAGTGAACGCAGCCGAATGGCCGCTGCGGTGTGCCAGCCGGGATCGCCCCCAAGGATTCTTTTCCTGCCTCAGCATTGTCAGAGAACACTGTCTCGTGGCCATGTCCCTTTCTGCCCTGGATGTGTTCCAGAACATCCCTAACGTGCGGAGAAAGGAAGAAGGGTCAGACAGCATAAGATTCCAGCTTGATCCTAGCAGGGAATTCCCTGTGGCCATGGAAATCCAGAAGTGCCCTTTAAACCCCCTTTGTACTGCTACAAAAACAGGAAAGACACAGGGCCTGGGCAATAGATCTAACTTTATTTTTATGGATAATTTTTTCCCATTTTGTTAGTTCAAATGTAGGCCAGGTCATTAGTAACTAGTTGATTGAATTCTTTGAGGGAACAATTTCTCAGTCCCATTCCAGTTCCTGAAGGTCACAAATGCACTTTGAAAAATTATAGCAATCAGTAACAGGCAATGTTTTCGGTAGTTTTGAGCAAGGATGGAAGTTGGGCAGGCCTCAGTCTGGCTGGTGGAGCTGCGTGAAGACAACAGCTACGCAGCTGCTTATAGTGCTCTTACTCTGGAAGCAGGCAGTGGACGCCTGTTTGCTGGGTCTATCAGTCTGGCACCTTTCACCACTAATATATCAATATATATTCCCAAAAGGAAAGGGGTAGCTCATTGTATCACACTAAGCACACATTGACCATTTTGAAGTTAGCAGGTGACCCTTGAGTGTAATGACCTAAAATTAATTGTAATAAAGGGCACCAGAATCCTTTATATCTGTGTCTAAAGAATTCTAATTAAGTGGACTCTGTGGTTGATGACTTCTCATTTTCCATGAAGATGCTACCAGGCTCATGCCAAGATCACATATTTCCGCTGCTTCGAAAGTGCTCGTTGCATGTTGAGCGCTAAGCTAAGTCAGCACGGCTAGGGCTGCCGTCAGCAGCAGATTACGGAGAACACCACGAACTGGGACAAACACCTAATGTTAAAGCAAGAATATAGTAGAGCCGCGCATCACATGTACATAACCAATTTGGGCAATATAATTTAGACATACCTATTGCTCTTCCTTCTGCTTCTTTTGCCATATTAAAATGTCGGAGCACAGAAAGCTCTCAGCTTGGCTGCTCCTTCCAGTTCTGCAGTCCTGACTGCGGCCAGCCTTAATGAAGCATCACGCAGCGTGCGAGCAGAGGTAGGCACAGAAGAAAAGGTATGATGGAGAAGAAAGCAGCGATAATAAGGGTGGCACCAGTCACCCCAAACGGAGACACGACTCTTCAACTGACAGAAGAGTCTCTGTGAAGGGTGACGGAGACTTTCACAGTAGAGCTGACGCCACGGACGGCTCCTCCAGCGGCTCAGAGGCACAGCGCACCGTGCGAGGAGGAGGGAGTGCCATTTAGAGACCCCCAGCACCGCTCCCCACTGTCGCTGGGATTGGATTGAAGGCTTCGCCTGTGTATTCTTTTGTTCCCTGCAAACTTTGTAGCACTAGATTGTATATGGCAAAGAAAACGGCACTCGTCGTTCTTGACATCACCACCCGTAACTAGGAGAAGCAGCTCAGGCAGGCTCTCACTCTCAACGCCTTTGAAAACTGAAATGTAGAAGCAGTTGAAGCCGATGCGGAAGTCAGGGGGGGAAAAGTGAGAGTGGCACTACATGAGCTCTAAAGAAAAAATACTCAGCATCAGCTAAAAGCAGCAAAGAACAGATCTTGATAGAGTTTCCCACAATGCCTGCTGTTCCAGCAGGGCAAGGAATGCTGTTTTCCAGCAAGGTTCCTGTTTCAAAGGAAGGAGCATCCTCCTAGTTCAGCGCCGAAGGAGCTGTAAAACAAGCAGGATGGGACAGTTCTATCTGTGGCAGACAACTGAAAAAACCCTACATGCAGAAATGTGAGCCTACTGAAATCAATTAAAAGCTTTTCACTTTGTCTCAGGACATAGAACACTAGCTGTTCCTGCAGTCTATGAAATAAAAAACAAACTCAAAACACCCAAAATGAATGAAAGCGTTTCTTGGGAAGATGAACCCAGCTCCACCCGTGTGGCACATAGTCTTCAAAACAGTCTAACAGCTCCAAGCACAGGCAGAGCAAACGAAACATCAGACCTACGTATTAATTTGGGCTGTTCTTCTCTTAG